AGAGTGTGTGTGTGTGTGTGTGTGTGTGTGTGTGTGTGTGTGTGTATGTGTATTTTTTTCTCCATCACTAAATTCCCAAATGGTTGAAGAGATTTTGTTCTAACGTTTGAACCAATTCCACCTTTGAGCAGACACCAGGCAAGGAAAATATAAGATCACAATTTGAATATTTAAGAAAATTTTGATCATATGAAAAAAGTAGCTTATAATGGAAATTGTTCTGCAACATCAAGAAAATTCTAACTGTTTAACAATGTTATCAAGACATTTTGTGAAATTACATAAAAATAAAGCATGTATCTCTTTTTAAACAGTGAACACCACACCTTGTTTTATGCACCCACCCAAAACATAGACCTGATCTAGCACTGAGCTGCCTGTAGGCAGAAACGATACCCCAACACAGAACTCCACTGAAATCACAAAGGGCTGATGGAGTAGAACTCAGTAGAACAAGAGTGAAGCTTCAGAGTGATGGCTACACATGTTCAAAAAATCACTAATTAAAGCAGGAACTGTGATGAACTAGATGTGTGAACCATGGGGGCTGTATGTTGCAAGTGAAAGGGAGTTTGCTGTGAACATCAAGTTTACAGTATGTTTCGGTGATAAGGTACGGTATTTAGGTTTGTTTGGATATTAAAGTTGCCTAATGTGGTGATTTCTTCAGTTTCGAGTGTGTGTTGACAGCAAATGAACTTGTGCAATCTTAATTCTAAAGAAATTAGGTCTCTTTGCATGGAAATGTATCTTATTTTAAAAGTCATACAAATTTCCCAGGGCCTAGCAAATCTTTCAGCATGAAGAACCGAACCATCTACATCATTCAAAATAAATAATCATTGCCAATTGCCACAACATAATTATGTAATTATGTCTCATATGATATTGTTAGTCGGTGATTTAATAAGTACTTCTATTTTAAATGAAGTGAACATAAATTGACAATTCATACTGCTAGATGGCATGTTTAGACAATGATTAATCAATTATACAACACAATTCAAAATGCAACTAACATACAATGTGTATTACTTTGGAAACACAATTTAAGCCATAGTTGTGGGAAGATGAAAGTAAATATGCCCATAGCAATATTTGGACTCTCAAGTAAATTGTGGAGAGCTATAAATCATTCTAAATCAAATACATGGTTGCAAGATACACAATCTAATTAGGAACTTAATTGTTTTTTGCAGTTACCATAAATGAAGGGTGGCAACTGTACCCACCAGCATCAATGAAGTTTATCTCTATCTTTAACAATATTTTTAGCTACAGCAATGTAGCAATAATAACTTCATATAAGCAGGAAACAGCTGAGATTTCAAGGGCATCTATGGCTTTATGTCCAAAAGATAGACCCATGCAGTTTTTCCTCTCTTCTTCTTTCTGCTTCCTCCAGCCTGTCCAAGAGAATCTGTCATTGAGAAGTGCGAGAGGAAGACCATTCCACTCTGCTATTTTGTGCTTCATGGTGGTGGAAAGACCAATGCCCTTTAATATTGAGCTATTCCGTAGCATATGGGACACATACAATTGTGATTTACACCCCATACAATCATACTGAAGGCAGTGAGATGATAGGGAGAAAATCAGTGGAGAATTTGCCGCTTTAAATCCTGAGGTGAACCTAGGACACTCACGCATATAACAAACAATAACAAAATATTCCACAACTACCAATAATTCTTGCTATCATTTGACCTTTTTCTTTTACATTTGATATAAAATGTGGGAAATTGAAGTGTGTTTGAATTTGGACTGACAGAACTAGGTTTGGGTGGCTGCTGCTTGAAGTTGTGTATAATTAAATTGAATTTGGCTTTATGTAATCAAAAAAAAAAAAGAAAAACCCTGTGTCCATGGTGACATTTGCACCTGAAACAATGGAGGCCTGGTTCAAACTGGGCTACAAATTTGGTATACAACAGTCAACCTACTATAGATTAGGTAGTATTTGGGCGGTATATACCTTTCTGGTTTTGCTCTTCCAGTTGTTTCAGGTTCATGTTAATATAAAAACCACTAAATGAATCTCACGGGACCATTTCCAAAACTCACTGGTTTATTAAGCAATTAGGGGGTTAATTGGGGGAAGTATTCACTATCATAGTGCAGTATGGGTTTCTCAGGACTCAGATTTTGGTGAGGTTCAGCAGTAGGAGGGCTGTTTCCTATTCCACTTCAGCCCAGGGGCAATGTGAAGCAATATGGGCTGGACTAGTCCACAGAGTAACATGGTATCTACTTGTTTGAAGGAGGCAGTAAAAATATAGCCAACTCCTTCCCCAAGAGATAGGATGGGTGGTTGGGGGGAATATGCCACCCAGTCATTCTCTGAAGAGTCCAGGGAAGTAATGGTTTTTGTCACACTTTCACCATCTTCTTCCCAGACCTGATAAACCATATGAAGTGAAGGGAAATTGTAGCTTACTCATGAGATTTTCATGGGATCTTGAGGTCTCTTCTGTAAACAGGGGTCTGAAGGGTTGAAGAGTGCACTCACAGGGATCATGAGGGAAGGAGGTTGTGAGGGGATAGAAGGCTCTGGGTCAGACCATAACAAGGTTAGAGAGAATCCTCATAGATGTTGATGTGGGCTTTTCAGTCAGGTTGACCAACCTGGCCCAGAGCCTTGGGTAAATCCTTGGAAGTTTATTCTTGCATCAAAACTTCAAACCTGCCAAATTTCAGATGATTTTGAGGAGAAATTTTGTTCAGACTTAGTTACTATATTTACGTGTGACTTTTCTGATGTGCTCATGATACAGTACATTCTTCCACAGAAAAGCAAGAGGGAAGGAATATTGTTATATGCATATTCTTATATGCTTTAGAGAATCTGCTGCAACCTTATTTACTGAACAAAACTGATTCTGATCTTAGTGAAGATAAGCTATTCAAGGTAAAATGTTACAGTGATTAAACAAGGAGAAAGATTTTTAAAGATTATCTGAAATCACCTTCCATTCCCTGAACTGGAATCACAGGAGTACAGAATTAGTTTAGGGGCTTGTATTCAGGTGCTTGATAAAAATATAGATCTTAAATGCCTTCCAGGCATCCATTTATACAATTGACCAAACACTAAACATATTGCAGAAGGATGCTTTTAAAATGTGTATATAGCCAATGGGGATAGTATCACGTCTCTGAGGCAATACAGGGGACATGAGATGCCAGGAATTTTCTGAAGCATTGCATTTCAGCTCATCCAAACCATAGTATTAGCTGAGCAAAATATGCCTTTGTATGTCTGAATGTGCAAGTCACTCACATCACCTATTATTTTGCATGGTGATACAAGAACAGGCTATGTGCACATTAGTCATACCCTAAAGCAAAATAGTGTGAAAATGAACATTTTCCAACGGCTACACTGTCAGCCATAAATGGTGTTAACTCAGATTTTAACCTGGTTGAAATATACATTTGTATCAATGCAATGTCTGTAAAAAGCAACAGAGGGTCCTGTGGCACCTTTGAGACTAACAGAAGTATTGGGAGCATAAGCTTTCGTGGGTAAGAACCTCACTTCTTCAGATGCAAGTAACTGTCTCAAAGGTGCCACAGGACCCTCTGTTGCTTTTTACAGATTCAGACTAACACGGCTACCCCTCTGATACAATGCAATTTCTGCATCTTCTCATGTTTTTAAAATGTCAATATATTGCATTTAATGGGCAATAGTCATAGTGAGTTTTTAGAGGTTTGAACCACTCTCATTTTAAACAAAATATTCCAGATTATGACTTTAGTTACATTCATATAACCATACTGACTTTACTGGGATTGCAGGGACATCAAGAAGGGCAGAATTTATTTCTATGAATCTGAGTCAGTTGTCACTCTTAATATACAGAGACACATTTAATATTAAAAGGCAGATGCTACCCACTCACTATAAACAAATGAATCAACACTTGACATGATTTGGATAGACATAGGAGCATTTTTAAAAAAAACCTCACACACGATAAAATAAAATGTTAG